TCGCAGGTCTGCCCACCCTGCGGTCATGGGTGGCGGTTCCGCTCCGCCCCCACTCCAATTGCGGTTACGTGACCACCACACCGGCGGGCTGCTGGGCCTGATCCGGGCGCGGGCAAAGGCTCTGCTCTGCCCCTACTCCAGTTGGGGTGTTGTGTGTACCACGCTGGCAGGCCGCTGGGCCTGATCCGCCAGTCTGTCGCAGGTCTGCCTACCTTGCAGGCGCAGGCGGCGTCTTTGCCCTCCTCCTCCTACCATGCCCGCAGACCACTGGGCCTTTTCTGCCGGTAGGTCGCAGGTCTGCCCACCTTGCGGGCGCGGGTGGTGGCTCCGCTCCGCCCCCTCTCCAATTGGGGTCACATGACCACCACGCCGGCGAGCCACTGGGCCTGCTCCGGGCGCGGGTGGCGGCCTGGCTCCTCCCCTCTGGCTCGACGACAAAGCGAGAGAGACTCGGGTGTCTGTGACTCACCCTCCCTACCAGGAGACCAACTGTTTCTGTCGCCGCTGGTATTGATGAAGTTCTCTCCTCCACCGCTTTCTGATGACATCAGATCTCTGCCATGTTGGTATCCTATGCGAATGGCAGCATTTCGTTCCCTTTGCTGGGTGACCAAAAGCAACTGGTGAGTCCTGACTGGCCCTCACAGACTCCATCTCAGTCCTGTTGCCACTGCCCACGAAGGCTGGGTTGGTATTTACCTCCACAGTACTCAGGACCCGGACCGAGAAGCAGTTTCCGCGGGCTCCTTAGCCCTGGGCCAGAGCAGTTCTGGGAGCCGGAACTCGGCCGCTCCGTGCTCGGTGTATGCTCTGATAAGAGCAGGCTCCAAGAAGCAGTTTCCGCGGGTTATTTAGCACTGAGCCTGAGTAATTTGTCAGCAAGCCGCAGGCGAATGGCAGCCTGAAATTACCTGTTCTATGGCTGAATGAGCTGCGATCAGTCAAAAACAGGGATGGTGACGTCAGCTCTCCAACATGGTGGCCGCTGGCCTCCTCTATGGTCTGACCGGCGTGGAGAACCGAATTGGACCGCTTCCTTCCCCCATCTCGAGCCCAGAATTCAGCACTGAGTACGGTGCTTGCACGGCTGGCAGAAACTGCAGCGCTGTATCCCTGCGTCGCTATCTCCTCGTTTCCCAGCGCGCGCCTCAGACTCTAACCTTTAACTTCCTCATTTATTGTTAATAGACATCTAGGCTTAGAAATCCGTGTATTTTGAACTTTTCTTGGTGTTTCTAGTATTTAGCACATCAGCTAGAGATGACATGAAAAGACTGAAGGTCAAAGTAAAATGTGCATATGTGAGGACCCTCATAATATGTGTTTCCTGGAGTATCTGATATCAGTATAAAACACCTTTCTATTTAGTGCCATCTGAGATAATGTTAGTAGCTTAAAGACCTCTTAATATTATGGACTAGCCAGCCTGGGACAAAATAGCAAGAGCCTGTCTCAAAAACTAAAGATTAGAAGCTTGGCACAGTGGTGCCAACTTGTTGTCTCAACTACTCAGGAGGTTAAGGCTAGAGGATTGCTTGAGTCCAGGAATTAGGGAACAACCTGGGTGACTTAGCAAGACATATATATCTATATCTTTACAAATAATGCATATATACATATCCTTTTTTTAATTAATTTTTTTAAAAATACACGACAACGGAATGTATTACAATTCTTATACACATATAGAGTAGTTTTTCATATCTTTATATAAAGTATGTTCACGCCAATTCATGTCTTTATACATGTACTTGGGGTTTTTTTTGCATTACAATTCTTATTACACATATATACCACAATTTTTCATATCTCTGTATATACAGTAGGTTGACACACAATTCGTGTCTTCATACATGTATTTTGGATAATGATGTCCATCACATTCCACCATCCTTGCTAATCCCCTGCCCCCTCCCTTTACCTCCTACCCCTCTGCCCTATCTAGAATACATCTATTCCTCCCATTTCCCCCCCACGCCACCCCCACTATGAGTCAGCCTCATTATATCAGAGAAAACATTTGGCATTTGGTTTTTTGGGATTGAATAATTTCACTTAGCATTATCTTCTCCAACGCCATCTATTTACCTACAAATGACATGATTTTATTCTCTTTTATTGCTGAGTAAAATTCCATTGTGTATATATGCCACATTTTTTAATCCATTCATCCACTGAGGGGCATCTAAGTTGGCTCCACAGTTTAGCTATTGTGAATTATGCTGCTATAAACATTAATGTGGCTGTGTCCCTGTAGTATGCTCTTTTTAAGTCTTTTGGGTATAGACTGAGGAGAGGGATAGCTGTGTCAAATGGTGGTTCCATTCCCAGCTTTCCAAGGAATCTCCATACTGCTTTCCATATTGACTGCACCAATTTGCAGTGCCACCAGCAATGTATGAGTGTACCTTTTCCCCCACATCCTCGCCAACACTTATTGTTGTTTGTCTTCCTGATAGCTGCCATTCTGACTGGAGTGAGATGATATCTTAGAGTGGTTTTGATTTGCATTTCTCTAATTGCTAGAGATGATGAACATTTTTTCATATATTTGTTGATTGATTGTATATCCTCTTCTGAGAAGTGTCTGTTTCAGGTCCTTGGCCCATTTGTTGATTGGGTTATTTATTTTTTTTCAGTGCTTAGCTTTTTGAGTTCTTTATATACCCCAGAGATTAATGCTCTATATGATGTGTGAAGGGTAAAGATTTGTTCCCAGGATGTAGGCTCTCTGTTCACCTCACAGATTGTTTCTTTTGCTGAGAAGAAACTTTTCAGTTTGATGTCATCCCATTTATTGATTGTTGGTTTTAATTCTTGTGCTATAGGAGTCTTATTAAGGAAGTTGGGGCCTAATCCCACATGATGAAGATTAGGGCCTACTTTTTCTTCTATTAGATGCAGAGTCTCTGGTTTAATTCCTAGGTCCTTGATCCATTTTGAGTTAAGTTTTGTGTATGACGAGAGATACGGGTTTAATTTCATTTTGTTGCATATGGATTTCCAGTTTTCCCAGCACCACTTGTTGAAAATGCTATCTTTTCTCCAGTGCATGTTTTTGGCACCTTTGTCTAATATAATGTAATTTTGTACTGTGTCCTCTATTCTGTACCATTGGTCTACCAGTCTGTTTTGGTGCCAATACCATGCTGTTTTTGTTACTATTATTCTGTAGTATAGTTTAAGGTCTGGTATAGTGATGTTACCTGCTTCACTCTTCTTGACGTACATTTTCTGTAGTATTTCCAGAATAGACTAGGGGAAGTAAAGGCTATAGATTATCTGTGGAGTTTATGCTTCTTTCCTTGTTCTTGTCTCTTTAGATTATAACTAAGAAAGGATGCTATTTATATTGTTAGCCATTTTTTTATATCATGTAAAATTTTCTTTGTACTCCTATCCAATAGCAAATTGGGTTTATGTCTTTTGGAAATAGGTATATAATGGAATCTTTTTGGTTCCCGTCTCTTAGAGTATCTAAGTAAATTATTTTTCATTTGTCAGTAATGTTTTTCTGCTTCTATTCTGTTTATTTGCATGATCCCAAATAATGTTTCATAATTTCTTCTGTATTAGCTTAACATTTGAAAATAATAGTCTCCCATACAAGTTTCAAAATTTTTCATTACATTTACTTATCCCACTTAATATATAACATCACAGTGTATAATTAATAATTAACATTGGACAATGTTAATCAACCATTCTTCTAAGTATTTTGCATGTATGCATTTATAACAATAATCTTATGAGAAAGTGCTATGATTAGTGCATATTTAACAAATGAGAAAATCAAGGCACAGAGGCAAAAAGTGACCCAGGTTATAAAGAGTGACAGAACTGGTATCAAGTTCATGCAGTTGGCTTTAGATCTGTCATCCTGAGTGTCTTTACTGGTTTTAAATTCTTATCTAGTATGTCTTATCAGAAGTTTTAAGATATTCCTTTAATAATAATTATCTAGGAGTCCAGATATTATTTGACACATACCATCTTGCCACTTGGGTTGAACAAAAATTTTAACACATGAATACAAGAAATGAACAGTTGATGAAGGTAAAATTGGAAAAGTAACTGTTTTAATGTAAAATTGGATGTTAAAGTATATGTTAAGATAACTTTTAAAGGGGCTGGGATTGTGGCTCAGCGGTAGAGCGCTCGCCTAGCATGGGTGGGACCTGGGTTCAATCCTCAGCACCACATAAAAATAAAGGCATTGTGTTATGTCCATCTACACCTAAAAAAATAAATATTAAAAAAAAAAAAAAGATAACTTTTAGGGGCTGGGGTTGTGTTTCAGAGGTAGAGTGCTTGCCTGGCACGCGTGAGGCTCTGGTTCGATCCTCAGCACCACATAAAGTAAAATGAAGACATTATTTCCACCTATAACTTAAAAAAAAAAGATAACTTTTAGTTGTAATATATATATCATTTTATAGTTTGGGGTTGTGGCTTAGTGGTAGAGAGCTTGCCTAGTACATGTGAGGCCCTGGGTTAGATCCTCAGCACCACATATAAATAAATAAAATAAAGAAAGGTATTGTTTTCATCTACAACTAAAAAAAATAATTTAAAAAAAGAGATAACTTTTATTGATAAATAGAAGTAATGTTTTATTGGAGTGTGTGGAGGCTTTTATATCTGATATCTGGTAGATGCCCATTTAGTCTACTCTATAAGTATCCCCAGAAGTTATTTATCTTATTCCCTCTGTTATACTGTAAAATTCTAAAAGAAAAATATTCTAAAAGTCTTTGTATTCCTCAAAACACTTAGGATAGTTCTTAGCAAGTAGATATTACCATAATTCTTTCTGGAATAATATCAGACATGTAGTAGTGATTTAGCATTTGTTAAATGAAGGAATTACTTGATATTACTACTTGTTATGATACTGTTTACCGAATTTAACATGATAAAGGACTTCAAATAAATACATTTGATTACTTTTTTTTCTGTTAGGTTATGAATCTGAAATTTGTTCTTTGTCCTTTCTATAGGATACTTCAAACTTTGTGCCGAAAACTAAGACTTCCTGAGACTTTTAACTTTTGTCACTTAGCACACTTAACGCCAGGCTTTGTTGGTGCTGATCTGATGGCACTCTGCCGAGAGGCAGCTATGTGTGCAGTCAACAGGGTCTTGATGAAGCTACATGAACAGCAGAAGAAAGATCCTGAGATTGAATGTTTGTCATCTGAAGGAGGCCAAGAAGAAAGATTGGGAACTGAACCCATATCTGAAACTCAGGTACTTATAAATGTTTGTGTTATATTAAATTCAAGTACGTGTTAGTATAGATGAGATTTAGTTCTTTGCAGAAAAAGTTTGCCAGCTTATGTTAGGACATTGACATATATTTCCTAGTTAACTTTTCGGTAGGTGAACTAATGATAATTTTCTGACATAACCAAATCCTTGTTTCTAGCTGCTCTCAGCTCTGGAGACCAATTTTGTGAATATGAGAGGAATATTTATGAGTCCAAGATCAGTGTTACACTTTTGAGTAAAATCTTAGTGTAATATATATATCATTTTTATACTTTGCACAGATGACTTCTAGATATAATTTGATCTGTATAATCTTGTGAAGAAAATATTATTTTCCTCATTTTATCATCCAAGACACTAAGCTTAATATGTTATGACTTGCCCCAGGCTACATAGCCTCTGCTTTATAAAGCAGAGACTTAAATCCAGGCCTTTCCTATTTAAATCATTTGTTTTTTCCCTTGCATATTTTAAATTAACATTGTTTTTGTTAAAAATCACAACAAGTTCATTTTTTTTATAATATTGCATGTTAGGATTTTTTATCTCAAAGTTAGAATTTTTTTTTTTTTTGTACCCTGGATTGAACTCACGAGTGAACCACATCTCCAGCTCTTTTTTGTTTATTTGTTTGTTTGTTTTGAGACAGGGTCTCTCTAAGTTGCTTAAGGCATCATTAAGTTGCTGAGGCTGGCTTCAAATTCATGATCCTCTTGCCTCAGCTTCCTAAGCCACTGGGATTACAGGTGTGCACCACTGCACCCCACTCAAAGTTAGAATTTTAAAAATTGAATTCCCTAGATTTACTCATTTTTTTACATTTATCCTTTCATGTACTTTTCCAAATCAAGAATCCTGCCATTGAAGTTCAAGATTCATAATACTAGGAAAATAGTCTGCTCTATATTTAGTTGATAAAACATCAGGGAAATATATAATGAAATTATACTGTCACCAGAGTAAATAACTTTGCTTTAATTTCATCAAAATTTAGTTGCTTCATGAATATTTATAAATGAAATGGGAAATATCATGATTGGTGAAATGGATATTTGCCAACTGCTTGTGATTGCTATATCTAACCCTAGTATAGTACATGGAAATTATTCTTATATTTGATTATAGTTGATTTACCTTTACTTGATCTGTTTAGGATAAATGAACATGTCTTCTGTCAAAGCGAGAAAGTTATTTATGAAGTTCACTGTAACTTACAGAATATTGGAGTAATAATTTTTAAAAGTATAATTTGTAACTTTTTAACAAACTGTGACAAAACCTTATAACATATCCCCTCCACCCTCAACCCCTGTTGTTCTTTTTAAGGATGACTTGCAAAGGCTTCTGGGGTTATTAAGAGACCAAGATCCCCTTTCAAAGGAGCAGATGCAAGGACTGTGCATTGAATTGAATGATTTCATTGTGGCTCTAGCTTCAGTCCAACCCTCTGCCAAAAGAGAAGGCTTTGTCACTGTCCCAAATGTGACATGGGCAGATATTGGTGCCCTAGAAGATATTAGAGAAGAGCTCACGATGGCAATATTGGTAGGTATATCAGCTGCTAAATGCTATTGGTATGTTTGATAAGTTGAGGGACATAAAGCTACATGCATGTTGACCAGGTTGTATGTCTAAAGTGACTTGGATTATATGTTCTCTTTCTTTTTTCCTACTTTTCCAATGAGTTTTATTATTAGTTAAATTCTGATTCATAGTCCCAGCATAGGGATCACCATGAACACCTTTACCACCTGTAAAGGTAAGAGGATGGGGGCAGTGGGATGGAGCCAGTTCATATTTTCCCAGGAACCAACTTTGTGTCTGGCAGTTATCTCAGGTTGAGACCCCAGGAGGGCAGAGGGACTTGCACAAGTTTTGGTACCACTCATACAGAGATCATGCTATCACTCCCTTATCACGGCAGTAGAAATTCAGGTAGTTCTGCCAGCAGTTCCTGGTGAGGTTCTGTGCGGGGAAGTGGCTGTCACAAGGGGTATTCATTTTCTGTGTTTTCTGAGTATTGGGATTGAACCCAATAGTATTCTATTTGTGAGCTACATCCTCAACACTTTTTATGAGAGAAATCTTGCTAAGCTGTTGAGACTGACCTCAAACTTATGATCTTCCGGCCTTAGCCTCCTCCGAGTACCTGGGATTACAGGTGTGTACCACTGTGCCTAGGTCAGAAGGAGCATTTACAAACTAGAAGAATATAGATTTCTAACACATTGGTTAAAACAAAAAAAAGTTAGTATTTTGTATAATTTTAAAACAATAATAAAAAGACACATGAACCAATAGCAAAATGAATATACATTTCATAGAAGAGGAAAAAACAGTGACTGGTAACATAAAAAGATGTTCAACTTTATGCGTAAAAAGGCACATTCTTGATGTCTTCTGCCACGGTGCTCTGCCCTTGGCACACTCTAGACGGGCACTCTACCACTAATCTATATCCCCAGCACTTTTTCTTTTTAATTTGAGATAGGATCTCACTAAGTTGCCCAGGCTGGCTTTGAGCTTAAGATCCTTCTGTGTTGGCCTTCTGAGTAGCTATGATTATAGGCGTGAGCCAGTTGAAATATTGTATCTTTATTTATAAAATGTTCTTAGAATGTAACACTTAAGTGAAAATTTCTCAAGAGTAATAACTTCTGTTTATCATCATGAAACTCATGTTTGAAACAGTTAAGCCAGATACTGCTCTTATCTTCAGGCCTCATAGTGTTGAAAATACATGTCTGGAGGTGAATTTGAACATATAGTATAAAAGAGAAAGCCATCATGGGTCTCTGCATTACTCTTTCCAGGCACCAGTACGTAACCCAGACCAGTTCAAAGCTCTTGGATTGGTGACTCCAGCAGGAGTCCTTCTTGCTGGTCCTCCTGGCTGTGGGAAAACTCTGCTGGCAAAGGTATGGTATGAATTTAACTTTAAATGTTACCATGAGATAAACCTTTTGCATAATTTCTGTTAGAAATTCATTTTAGCAAAGACGGTAACTTTTCTCAGGGAAGTTTTACAAAAGTTAAATCAATGAAAAATGTTGGGGGCTGGGGATGTGGCTCAAGTGGTAGTGCGCTTGCCTAGCATGCATGAGGCACTAGGTTCGATTCTCAGCACCACATAAAAATATATTGTGTCCACCTAAAACTAAAAAATAAATAATTTTAAAAAAGTTACTTGTAACTCAGGTTTGAATTCAGCACCACATAAAAATAAAATAAAGATATTGTGTCCACCTAAAACTAAAATATAAATATTTTAAAAAAAAAAGAAAGAAAAATGTTTAAATCAATTATAACCTCACCAGTTTTCACACATCATTTATCATATTTCTGTGTATAATATTCTAGTATTTTGCAGGGGGATATTGAGTGTACTATATCCTTATCGTGTGTTTTGAGACAGTCTCACCACGTTGTCTAGGCTAGCCTCTAACTTGCAATCCTCCTGTTCAGCCTCCCCAATGGCAGAATTATAGGTGTGTGCCATTGTACCTCATCTATTCTAGCTTTTTAGTAAGTATTTTTACATAACTGTACTTTATAGCCAACTTTGTTTTCTACTATGGTGTAGGTAAGTATTTTACTATAATCCTGTATGTATCTTACAAGTTATTTTTAAAATTTTTATTCATAGAAGGAAATATAAATAAACAAACGGGAAAAGCATTGTTTATAGTTCTTCCACTAATACCTACTACCAACTACTGTTTCCTTTTGGTGTCAGTCCTTCCACATATTTTTTTATACATACATATCTAAATAGTGTATAAAAGATAATATATATTGGTTTTTACAAATAGAAGGTTTTTAGATATGCTTTTCTCATTTAGCAATATTTTCTGAACATCTTCCCATGTCAATATAGTTACACATCAATTTTTTTTTTTTGGTACCAGGGATTGAATCCAGGGGTGCTTAATCACTGAGCCACGTCCCCAGCCCTTTTTAAAATTTTATTTAGAGATAGGGTCTTGCTGAGTTGCCTAGGGCCTCACTAATTTGCTGAGGCTGGCTTTGAATTCGCAATCCTCCTGCCTCACCCACCCAAGCCACTGGGAGTATAGGTATGTGCCACCAAGCCTGTTCTACATTTTTAGTGCTTGGATAATATTCTACCATAAAAGATGTTTTATAATTTATGATAATGATTCTGCATTAGAACACTACCTTATATAATCTTTGCCTACATTTTTGTACCCCAGGCTAATAATTTTATTAGAATGCATTCCTAGGTTGGAGTTGTGGCTCAGAGGCAGAGTGTTCACCCAGCATGTTTGAGGCACTGGGTTCGATCCTCAGCACCACATAAAAATAAAATAAAGATATTGTGTCTACCTATAACTAAAAAATAAATATTTAAGAAAAAATAATGCATTTCTAAATATTTTTCAGTTAAGAAAAATGAATTTTTTTTCTTTTTCCAGGACTGGGAATGGAACCCAGAAGCATTCTACAGTCCTTCTTTTAGTTTTTATTTTGATACAGGGTCTTACTGTGTTGTCCAGGTTGGTCCTCAAGTTTTGATCCTCTTGCCTCAGCCTCCTGAGTAGCTAGGACTACAGGCATGTGCTCCCACACCCAGCAAAATGCACAATTTTTTTTTTTTTTTGGTACCAAGGATTTAACCCAGGGACACTTAATCACTGAGCCACATCCCCAGCCCCCTTTTTATATTTTTTTAAAATTTTGAGTCTCACTCTGTCTCAGAGTCTCAGCCTCACTAAATTGCTGAAGCTGACTTTGAACCCGTGATCCTCCTAGCTCAGCTCCCAAGCGCTGGGACTACAGGTATGCACCACTGCACCTGGCTAAAATGCACTTTTTTTTCTTTTTTTGGTATGGGGTTTGAACCAGGAGTGCTTAACCACTTAGCCACTGAGCCACGAGACAGGGTCTTGCAGAGTTGCTAAGTGCCTTGCTAAGTAGCTGAGACTGGCTTTGAACTCATGATCTTCCTGCCTCAGCCTCCCAAACTGCTGGGATTACAGGTGTGTGCCACCATGCCCAGCTTAGAATGCACGTTTTAAAAGCTTCGTGTGTATGTGTGTTTACAGGGTTTGAATCCAGTTCCTTGGTCAAGCTACACAAGTGCTTTACTACTGAACAGTGTCCCCAGGCCCTTTTCTTAAAAGTTTTGAGACAGGATCTTGATAAATTACCTAGGGTTGCTCTCAACTTGCAGCCCTCCTACAGCCTTCAGAATAGCTGGGATTATAACCATGTGCTGCTTGCCTAGCTGAACTCTATTATCAAGGTACAGACAAATAGTGTAGTCTTCCTAAAAGTTTGTACCAGATCCATATGTCAATAAGGTATGAGTACTCTTTTCCCCATATTCTAAATATGCAACAGTCATGAAAATTGCTTTTAGTATTTGACAATCTGATGTATAAAAGTGATATCGTAGAGTTTTTAAATTGCATTTCAAAAATTATATTTATTGGTTTATTTTTTTTCCTGAATGGTCTATTAATACCATTTACCTATTCTTCTACTGGTATAATTCTTATGATGGCTATGATTCTTCTAGAAGCACTATATTTTAAGATCTGTTGTATTTGTAAATATGTTTTTCAGTTCATTTTTACTTTTTTAACTTTATTAGTCATGTTTTGACACATTGGTTTTTCTTGTTTATTTCACTTTTCTTTCTTTCTCTCTCTCTCCCCCCTCCTCCTCTCCCCCTCCCTCTCCTCCTCCCTCTCTCCCTTTCTTCTTTCCTTCCTTCTTTTTTTCCTTCCTTCCTTCCTTTCCAGCACTAAAGATCAAACCTAGGGTCTTGTGCATACTAGCCAAGTACTCCACAACTGATCTGCATCCCCTATTTCATTTTTATTTGGCCAGATTTTTAAAAAAAGATTTATTTTTTAGTTGTAGTTGGACACAATATCTTTACTTATTTATTGTTACATGGTGCTGAAGATCGAACCCAGTGCCTCACATGTGCTAGGAGAGTGCTCTACCACTGAGCCACAACTCCAGCCCCTGTGTGAGCAAATTTATGTGATTTTTTTTTTCTTTCAGGATCACAAACGACATAAAAAATAATAACAGTTTTGCTGGGTGCAGTAGTGCATGCCTGTAATCCCAGTGGCTCAGTAGGCTGAGGTAGGAGAATTGCAAATTCAAAGCTAGCCTCAGCAATTTAGCAAGGCCCTAAGCATCTTAGGGATTAATAACATTTTAAGCAAGTACCACAGCAGCTCAATAATTTTTTTGATTCTTTATTATATATCAAATACCCATTGTCCCATGTACAAAACTTGTTTTTACTTATATTACTAAATTTCCTTGCCTAATATTCTCATTACTCTTACAGTATTCCTGTCAGGAGGTAGGGGCAGAGGAGAAAAAAAGAAAGCAATTCAGTATTTACATTTTTCACAATTTCAGAATAACAGCTAGAAAGGAAGTCATTCATGTCATGGTTACATCTCTTTAATTAGTCTTGTTCACAGCAAGACTGGAGAGGTGTGTATAATTTGAAAGTCACAGAAAATATCAGAGATCCAAATTTTCCTCTCTTTTCCCTATACCAAATGACCAACAATTTGATACCACTTTGTTTAGTCATATTCTTAATACCTGACTTTACAGAGCAGTGAATTTTACCTAGGATTCCATGGATAGACTCAAAGCTTCAGTTTGTCCATAAGCCCAGTCAGTATGTATGTGTGTTATTTCTGGGAAAGAATGGTTACAACATTCATTAGATTCTCCAAGGAGTGAATAACCATATGCCAGAAAGTCAACGAATAATAGAAAATTTTCTTGAATGGGAGAGACAAAATGTTACCTATAGTAAAATTATGGAACCATCTATGAGTCATTACTTGGTAACTTAAGTGTTGAATATGAAATTACGTTGTTGGCTGATCTTGGTTGTTTTGTATAGTCTTAACAATAAAATGATATAATTTTCCAAAGCATCAGCATGTATAAGTAAGTAAATAGCATAAAGTAAAGGCATGCAATTGCTGGAGCCAGCACCCTGGAAATTAATGAGTGATGAAAGGGAAATAGAAAAGAGAATAAATAGTAGGAACCATTTAGTTGTCTGGAGATATATAACATGGAAGCAGAGACCTGCTGACACCATAGTGCAGGATTCATTATGTGCAGAATTCATCATAGTGAATAACATTTTTGTTCACTATATTTCATTTAGAACAGATTTCCACCAATATCAGGAATTATTTGGGGTTTCAATGGTTTTAACCCAAGTTAGCTGGCATATAGGTGTTGAAAACCTACTATGCATGAGTTGCTAGATGTGTATCCTGTTTTACTTATAGTTTTGAGCAAGAGATAGGAAAGTTATGAAACTGGCAGAAGACAAGAGAAGGATTGAGAGATGTAGATAATCCATGTATTGAACAGCCTTTGTTATAGCAGAGCATTCATGCATGTCATTGGTTCACCAGGAATCTGTTAATCCTGTTCTTTGTCAGAAATTGTTTGAGGTACTAGGGATAAACTAGTTAAGATGACTTTTCTAATGAAATTTGCTGTCTACTTGGAAGAGAATAACAGTAAACAAGTAGAACAATAAAATTTCAGGTTCACTAAGTTATTATGGAAATAGTGTTGTGATTAATGATTGGTAGCTACTTTAGATAATGGTGTTCAATAAATGGTAACATTTAACAGTGTGAAAGAACCAGCATGAAGAGGCAGGCAAAGTAGGGGAATAGTTTTTCAGATAGAAGGAAGAACAGTTATAGAAGCCGTAAGGTGGTTAAGGACTTGATGAGTTTGGAAACAGGGAAGGAATAAGTAGTTAGACTAAGGAGATGTCATGTCCCAAGATGCAAGCTCAGGAGCCATGGTAAATATTTCAAATTGTAATTGAAGATGAATGGGACATGTAGTAAAATAATATGATCTCATGTGCATTTTTACTAGAGTACTCTTTTTTTCTTTTCTTTCTTTCTTTTTTTTTTTTTTTGGTACCAGAAATTGAACCCAGGGGCACTGAGCCACATCTCCAGCCCTTTTTTATATTTTATTTAGAGACAGAGTCTCACTGAGTTGCTTAGGGCCTTGCTGAGTTGCTGAGGCTGGCTTTGAACTCAGGATCTTCCTGCCCCAGTCTCGTGAGCTACTGGGATTACAGGCATGCACCATCAAGCCCAGCTCTTTAGCGGAGTACTCTTAACTGCTGTGTAGTAAATAGATTGGAGGAAAGCAAGAATGAAAGAAAACCAGTTAAGGGTTTTCTAATCTGTTCCAGCAAGAAAGGATGGTGGGTGGTCTAGATGAGGGTGGTGATGTAGAGATGTAGAAAATGTATCAGACCCACGTATATTTTAGCATTATAGCTAATAGAACTAACAGATGGTTGGGGTAACATGACAAGCAAGACATGAGACCAGGGGAATACCAAGGGTTTGGCCCCAAAATTATATTTACTGAGATGAGGTATAAGAGTTTACAGGTGAGTTTTGGAGGAAATTGGGAGAGAAAAAAACAGGATTTCTGTTGTGTAAATGATAGGTTTGAATACTTGTGTAATTGGAGTAGAGATGCTGAATATAGATCTGGAGCTCAGATTTTAGATTCCAGGATCTAGGAATAAAAAAGAACTGTTTCGTGGTCATTTTGAAGTTGCAGTGAGTGATTTATTCTAGTTTTATCTTATTTATTCTTAGATTCTTCTACACATATGTGTTTCTCAGTAAAGACTGATTCTAAGGGTTTTTTTGTTTGTTTGTTTTTGTTTTTGTTTTTAATCATGATACAGGGGATTGAACTCAGGGATGTACCACTCTGCTATGCCCCCCAACTCTTTTATTTTTATTTTGAGATAGGGTCTTGCCAAGTTGCCCAATCTGACAGAGCTTTGTGATGTTACTTTCTCAGTCCCTTGATCATACTGAGGTTTTTCTATATTTTGGTTTGTAGATTCATGGGTGATTGCTTTCATTGCACAAGGCATTTCTTAAGTGCAAAGCTTGATATCTCACTGACATTCTAAGCTAGGACTCTAAATACTTTTATTTACAGTGTCGTAAAGCATGTTTATACAAACAATATATACATAAATATTTTTGTTATTCCCATTTGATTTGTAGTTGTCTTAGCAATTCTTAGAAAGTTGTAGGCTAACATTTACTTTCTTTGGTTTTCCTTTTGTATTTTTCCTTTTCCCATTTTTCTCTTTTCCTTCTGATGAGAAATAAGCAACTATAAAAAGGAAGAAATACAGTTAAAGCCAAATTATTATTACTCTTTTGAGTATTTGTCTTTTTGGTGATGTCTTTTTGTTTCTTCTTCTAGGCTGTGGCAAATGAGTCTGGACTGAATTTTATATCAGTCAAAGGCCCTGAATTACTAAATATGGTAAGTCATTGGCATTAGCCATTATTTTAATTGGGAAAATTACAGTATGAAACCCCCTCAGATCTTAATCACTGCTATAGGAATGAGGTGATTTAGCTTTGCTCACTACTAGGAGTGTATAAATGCTTTTTTTTAAAATGATTTTTAAAAAAATATCTTTATTTTACTTATTTATTCTTTATGTGGTACTAAAACTCGAACTCAATGCCTTGCATGTGCTAGGTGAGCACCCTACCACTGAGCCACAACCCCAACCCATAAATGCTTCCTTGATTGAATCTGATAACCTCTCTGACCCTGAATCCTCATACCTACAGAGAGAAATAATTTATTACAGTTATTGACATTTTCATGTGTTTACCTAGCACCAAGTATTTGTCATATGCTTCACATTTATCATTCTTGAAAAATCCTGTGAGATGACGTATTCTTTGTTCTGAATAAGGAAACCTCGGAATGCTGATGTATCTTGCCAAAGGGTGGCAGCTAGGAAGGACGATAGTAGAAGTGAGATTTGAACCCAGGTTGTCTGGTTCCTGATATGCTTCCCTATCCTATTCTTGTGTGACTCAAATAAGTTAAGTATTAGTAAATAAAAGTACTTCAGGGGAAAGAAGTCACTAAAGTGACATCTTCTTTCTACATTTAAGCAGTTTATGCCTCAAATTTAAGAGATTTTGAATTTGTTATTTCTAGTCCATTCCTATGTAAGTATAAAACTCTCATTCAATGTTTGTAATATATACAGACAAAGAAGAAATTAATGGTATTTGACTTATAGGCTGCTGCTGCTGCTTTTTTTTAATAATGATCCTGGGGACTGAACCCAATTACTCTACCACTGAGCTACACTCATAGCCCTATGAGAACAAGTTCTTTTTTTTCCTCTTACTTTTTTTATTTGTCTTTTTAGTTATACATAACATAGAGTGTATTTTGACATATCATACATAGATTGGAGTATAACTTCCCATTCTTGTGGTTGTACAAGAACAAGTTCTTATGTCTAACTAAAAACTGAAACCATATACTTATGTATAACTTGTATATTAATTAGTCCAAATATTATTGCTACTTGTGAATTGCTCTATTTCTTTTTTTTTAGAGAGAGAATTTTAATATTTATTTTTTAGTTTTTTCAGCGGACACAACATCTTTGTTTGTATGTGGTGCTGAGGATCGAACCCGGGCCACACGCATGCCAGGCGAGTGCGCTACTGCTTGAGCCACATCCCCAGCCTTATTTCTTGACCTTTATATTTTGATTTAGTTTTAACATACACTAAGACATTGTGAAACCTGTGAGAAGCCTAACTGATTCACTTTGACTTCTCTGTTGCTATAGGACATCTTTTCCCTTTTTTTAGCAAGATGTATAGAAATAAGAATAGAGGGCTGGGGTCGTGGCTCAGCGGTAGAGCGCTCGCCTTGCACATGCGAGTCCCTGGGTTCGATCCTCAGCACCACATAAAAATAAATAAATAAAGATATTGTGTCCAACTAAAATATATTAAAGAATAGAACAGTAATTGACTTGGGTATTTAAAATACTGTTGAATTAATGAAAATTATTGCTAGGTATTTTATATGCGCAAAGCATAGGAGATCAGTTCTAAAATACAGTAGAATACAAAGGATTTTTTGAGCTAGAGAAAACCTTGCATCCTACTTAGTCTTCATTTTATGAATGAGGAAATTCCTAATAAACTTAAATAACAGTTAATTTTAGTAAGAAGTTGAACTTTATGAATTTGGTTATTTTTATAGGTCAACAGTGGTTTAATATCAACATTTGCATATGTTTAGTCTAATAATTTTTTTGGACAATTTTTTTGGAGCAGTGTCATTTGTAACTACTTTTACTATCATTTGGCCCAAACCCCAAGTTGAACAGTGCTGCATTTTATTTTCTTTTTGTGTATGTTTAGTATGTTGGTGAGAGTGAACGTGCTGTACGACAGGTTTTTCAGCGTGCTAAGAACTCAGCACCCTGTGTGATATTCTTTGATGAAGTAGATGCTTTATGTCCTCGAAGATCAGACCAAGAGGTAAGTATCATAGATTGTTGGTTTGCAGATTTTTTCTTTTACATACCATAAATATTTTTTAGTTTCCAAGTCAGGTACTTTTTATGAAGTCATTGCTTGGGAACATTGCAATTCTTTAAATGAAGAAACTTAATAATTTGAAATCAGAGTTTAGAGATAACAGTTATATTCCATAATAATTTTTTTCCCTATGATGTATATTCTTTTGGTTGCACAGTGTATAGTAATCCCAATTCACACAAATGAGTAGTTGGGAATGGAAGTGATAGTAGCCTTGGATACTTTTCCTTGAATCTTGTAATTATGGTACTCTTCAGTTATATTGGTTCTTGAGACAACATATAATTTAAGACGTCATACACTTAAAATAGTGTCTCATTATTAATTTTTAAGACTGAACACCATTACCATCTGGGGAAGTTAAGTGACCTGCATTGAATACTACTTGTGTAAACCACACTGAATCACAGTTCTTTCACACTTCGCTACAGAGAGTAGAGGAAGCACTTGTTATCAGGAGTACTATAATTTAAGAATTTGAAGCTTAGTAAAACATAGAATAAGAATATATAACCTTTTGAAACAAGCAAACAATTATTAATAAATACATTTATTTCATGATCACTGAGGAAGTGACTGCCCTTCTAAAACCTGGGACATCTTTGTGATTTAATTTCAAATAGTTATTCTGTGTGTTCTTAGATTGTGAAACATTAAATACCTCATTTCACTAAAAATCACTAAAAATCTTCAAAAGCATTCAAAAGTTGGAAAAACAAAAGTTGACTAATATGATTTTGACTCATGTAACAATTTTTTCTCCTCATTCAATAATCATCAGTACCATAACAGGTCATCTTATAGTTTTTTCATGGTTCCCTGTTATATGTCCAGCTCGTTAGGGCTTGATTTGCTCTGGATTTTGCTCCTGTTTATTCTTTGCTCTTTTCGTGTAAATAAATATTTCATTTGTCCATTGCCTTTCAATGGTTTGCAGCTATTACCAGCTGGTAAATCTAAATTTGGAAAGGTTTATTGGCAATTACTATTCTCAAAAGAATTCTGTAGCCACATAAAGTGTAAATTAGGATTTCTAATTTCTAGGTTATCTCTTGTATATCTGCTGTCATACATTTCTGTACTCTGATGTGTAAATGGTTGCTTTTTCACCATTTTCCCCTGAAGGGATTCTAAAAACATTTCAAGTTTGAATGTATTCCTTTTAAATTTTATTAATTATACATGAATACATACTTGTAACAACTTTGTCTGAAGAGTAAAAGTCAGATAGATGCCAGTGGTGCATGCCTGTCATGTCAGCAACTCAGGGGGCTAAGGCATGAGGAGGGCAAGTTTGAGGCCAGCTTAACAATTTAGCAAGACCCTAAACAACTTAGCAAGACCCTGTCTCAAAATAAAATAAAAAGGGCTGGAGAGGTAGCTCCATGGTAAAGTGCCCCATGGTTTGATCCCCAGTACCAAAAACAGAAGTGGGGTACTGGACATGAGGTATTTAATGAGGTATTTAATGTTTCACAATCTAAGAACACACAGGGAAGAAGTCCTTCCTTTCTGTTCTCCTTATTGCTTTTCTTGGAGGTTGCTACTGCTAATTATTCAGTGTTAAGGGTAAACATATCCTTAACTAGAACCTTTTCCATAAATTCACTTTTTGTGTAAATGTAGTTATTCTATCTTGATTATTTTCCTATGTACTTAATAACTTTATTATAGAATTTACTTAATTATTTTAGACATTTACATGGGTGTCTGGTTGTTTCTTTTACAGACAGAACTATTAAATGTTTGTATTATATATTTGTGTATACATGTATGAATATGTGTGATGGAGTTTGAGAAGTGTAAATCATGGTTGAAGATGTATATGAGTTAAATTTTAAAATATAACAAATATTTTGTCATCTTTCACAAAACTACAGTCACATATGCCAACCAACTGTTGCATGAAAATAACCATTTCCCATACTTTTTTCAACAAAGGATCTTTATTTTTTGTCAGTTTTACTGGCAAAACACTAAACTTTAGTATGCATGTCCCTGATTACCAGGGAGGTTAATAATTTTCAATAAATTTGCATTTCATCTTTTATACATTAATCTTATTATATATCTTTTGACCCTTTCGCTGTTGAAATTATTTTTTAGTTGTTGATGGAATTTTATTTATTTATTTTTACTTATTTATATGTGGTGCTGAGAATTGAACCCAGTACCTCACATACCTAGTGGTAGGCAAGCGCTCTACCACTGAGCTACTACCCCAGCCCTGGAATTTTTAAAATTGATTTATTAGAGCTTTTTGTTTTGGTATTAAAGATTGAACCCAAGGGCACTTTACCACTGAGTTACATCCTCAGCCCTTTCTACTTTTTATTTTGAGATGGTCTTGGTAATTTGCTTAGGGTCTCATTAAATTGCTGAAGCTGGGCTGGCCTCAAACTTGTGATCCTCTTGCCGTAACCTCTTGTGTCGCTAGGATTATAGATATTTGCCACTGGTACCTGGCAATTTATTAGAGCTTTTTATGTATAATGGTGTTAGTCCTTTGTCCAGTTATGTGTACTGATACCATTTACCCCAGTCTTTTCATTTATCTTAATTTTTTTCTATAGAATATAATAATTTTAATAAACTATCAACCATTCTTATATTGATTCTTTTTTTTAAGGATTTTTTTTTTTTTTACTTGTAGATGGACACAATACCTTTATTTTTTAAAAATTTATGTGGTGCTGAGGATAGAACTCAGTGCTTCACGTGTGCTAGACAAGTGCTCTACCACCGAGTTACAACCCCAGCCCCATTGTATATTGATTCTGATATTTTTCTCTTGCTTAAGAAGAACAATGTTGGGAGGGAAGAAGAGAGGGAAAAGGGAAATACTAGGGAATGATACTAGCCAAGTTATATTGTGTGTACCTATGAATATGTAACAACAAATCTCACCATTATTTATAGTCATAATGCACCAATAAAAAAATAGAGAAAATTTTTTAAAAAGGACAATGTTAGGTTTTATTCTTACCTAGTACCACTTAATATTTTTGAGTCTGGACTATGACTCTATTCATATTTTAATTATTATGTCACCAAGGAATGAATGAAAAGCAGGCTTACCAAATATTTCCTTCTAGAATAATCAGTGGTTAAACCAGCTACCACCTGTGTGCATAAGTTATATTGAAAAAAAGCAGTACTGACAAAATGAAACAGCACCATTTTTTCTCATTTCCACCATCATACATGGTTTTTTTTTTTGTTGTTGTTGTTTATTTGTTTCTATGTTTAGGTGATTTTTCCCTTAACCTTTCTCTTGGATTATTGCCCTGAATAGCCTTACTGCTGTTTGCTTCAAGAAAAAGAGGAAAAAACTTTAGTGCCCTATATGCTCTTCTCTGTATTGTGTTGAAAGATTTAGAACATGTGATGTACTGGGGAATCTGGAGTTTAGAAGCTGAGTTTACTTTTGCCCAAACACATTTATTGTGCCTGTTAGATCTTTGAATAAGTTTTATGTCTCCCCTTTTCTAGTGATGAGACTTTGGACAAATTCTCTAAGCTTCTGTTTCCTCATCTAGCTTGTGAATAATAACAGGATTGCTAGGGAGTCCACTGATTACAACCCGTTTTATACCATGTTGCCATATATTGAAGTGGTCATTGTTCTCTTTCTCTTTTTCTCTCTTGAAACTGAGGGTTGAGCTACATCCCAGCCCTTTTTATTTTTCATTGTGAGACAGGGTCTCACTAAATTGCCCAAGCTGGCTCTGAAGTTGCCATCTTCCTGCTTTAGCTTCCCTAGTGTCTGGGATTACAGCTGGTATTCCAGATGAGCATAAACTACTGCCTCCAGTTAAGGAGAAAAAGTCTCAATATATTGCCCAGGCTGGCCTCAACTCTTGGTCTCAAGTGGTCTTCCTGCCTCAGCCCTGCCCCCAGCGTAGCTGGGACTATAGGCACATGCCACTGTGCCCAGCCATTATTATATGTCATCAAAAGCCTTCATTCAGATTAGCAAATGTATTATTTTGTACAGAAAAATTGTCCTTTCTTTGTATTGAGGGCCAATGGAACTATTCTTTCTTTCTTAAAGTTGAAAACTAACTTTACTTACAGCTACACTTTTTTTTTTTTTAACAAAGAGTTTTTTTTTTTTTTAATATTTATTTTTTAGTATTTGGCGGACACAACATCTTTGTTTGTATGTGGTGCTGAGGATCGAACCCGGGCCGCACGAATGCCAGGCGAGCGCGCTACCGCTTGAGCCACATCCCCAGCCCCACAGCTACACTTTTATTGGTATAGTTTTTGGATAGAAAGCATGGCTTTTGTAATTAGTAGAGATTTTGCAAACAATATCTGTATGGTAGGAATGATCTCTGGAATTGTATCAGCTGTATGATGTACATCTCAGAAGTTAGGATGTTCTAGGATTTCCCACCATCCATTGTTCTCCCACCATCTTACCTCCATGCAGAAAATGGTCTATCCTCCCTAGAGACAGAGCAAAGGCACAGGAAAATAGAAATAATTTTATGATGAAGTCTTATGAATCTTCTTCTATAAGCTTCCCAACAAAGTTATTCTTTTATATTATGAGAATTCATATTTCACAATGTTTAATTGGTTGGTTGGCTATTTAAATTTTTTTCCTTCTATTTGTATATTTCTGTGCTCTTTGCAGTGAGAATTTTGAGGGTTATGAAAAGAGATATGCTTAGAAATACATCTAAGAACAATTCTGTCTTGTGCTGCTGATATACTCCAAAATGTACATTCCTTGGTTTGAGGCTAGAAGTGCTACAGTGATGGCTCGTGTTATTTCCAAGGTCATAAAGCCTTGGCCTCTCTGATGGGACTCAGTATGAGAGTGTCAGTAGTAAGTAAATCACACTATTCATCTTAGTTCTAAAGCCAGTGTTTTATTCCATGAGGAAACAATAGAGGCATTTTCAATAAGATCAGGAACACAGCCAAATGTTCACAATCTCTGACATTATTCATCAGTGTATGAGAGGTGTGCCCTAGGGCAGGGTTTCAGAGATCTCAGTCTGTAGAAGGCCAATTCCATTGCTCTGGGCCCCAGGTGAGGCAGAACATCATGACACAAGAGGTGTATTGGAGGAAAGCAGCTCATGATATGATAATCAGGAAGCAGAGCGACTTGATTTATTTATTTATTTTTTAGACAGGTGCAAGTGTTCGGGTGGTGAATCAGCTGCTTACAGAGATGGATGGTCTGGAAGCACGTCAGCAGGTTTTTATTATGGCAGCCACTAATAGGCCAGGTAAGAAAGAAGAACATCACACAGATGAGTCTCAAAACTCACAGCATTTGTTTACAGTTTACTTTATGTACATCTTAGTAAAGGAATATTTAAATTTTAGCAATTCCCTTTTGGTTCATAGGTTGAAATAAAACCTTAGAAAGCTTTTTTATAAGCTACAGTAAACCACAGTATTATTGCCTAGATTCTATGAGATTGTTTTTCTCTGTTAGTGCTCAGAAAGTTGTTTTGCTGGCAGAACACTTGAAATACACATTGTTTTTTAAAATTAGAGCTTTATAGTTATACATAGTATTTGAGTTCATTTGACAAAATACATGCAAGGAAGGAATTTGATTTTTTTTTTTTTAGTTTTATTGATTTTATTTTTTTTAAATACACGACAGCGGAATGCATTACAATTCTTACTACACATAGAGTTCAGTTTTTCATATCTTTGTATAGAATATGTTCATGCCAATTCATGCCTTTATACATGTACTTTTTTTTGCATTACAATTCTTATTACACAAATACACCACAATTTTTCATATCTCTGTTTATATATAAAGTATGTTGACACACAGTTCAGTTCTTTATACATGTACTTTGGATAATGATGTCCATCACATTCCACCGCCAGGAATTTGATTTTAATTCCCATCTTCCCCTTTGCATCCCTCCTCCCTCCCCGTATTCTCTCTCCTCTATTAATATTTTATTTATTTATTTATTTATTTATTTATTTATTTATTCATTCATTCATTCATTCATTCATTCATTCATTTTTGGTGCCAGAGATTGAATCCAGGGGTGCTTAACCACTGAGCTATATCTCCCCAGTCTTATTTTTCAGTTTTGAGATGGGGTCTCACTATGTTGCTAAGGGCCTCAATAAATTGCTCATGCTGGCTTTGAACTTGCAGTCCTTCTGCCTCAGCCTCTTGAGTCACTGGGGTTATAGGTGTGTGCCACCATGCCCAACTATTTATTTATTTTTTATTGATATTTTCTATGTATATATAAACAGGTGAAATTCTTTTTGGTACATTTATATATGTATATGACATGCTGTTGTTAAATTCATTCCATATTTCAATCCCTTTCCCTTCTTCCTCCCTACCTCTTGTTGTTCTTCTACTCTACTGATCTGCCTTATATCTTTATGTATTCAGTCTTCTTCATTTCATGTATTCATCTTTCCTCATTTTGCTATAGCTTCCACACATGAGAGAAAACATTTGGCTTTTGATTTTCTCAGTCTGGCTTAATTCACTTAGAATGATTTTCTCCATCTCCATCCATTTACTAGCAAATACCATTATTTCATTCTTCTTTAGGGCTGAGTAAAACTCTGTTATGTGTGTGTGTGTGTGTGTGTGTGTGTTTGTGTATGCACACAGCACGTTTTCTTGAGCCATTCATCTATTGATGGGCATCTGGGTTTATCTCATAATTTGGTTATTGTGAATTGTGCTGCTATAAATATTGAAGTGGCTTCATATGTATTATATGACGATTTTAGTTCTTTTGGATAAATACCGAGGAGTGGGATAGCTGGGTTCCAGTCCTAGTTTTTTGAGGGATCTCCACACTGCTTGCCATAGTGGTTATACTAATTTGCAGACCTCCCAACAATTTATGAGTGTACTTTTTTCTCATATCCTCTCCAGCATTTATTATTGTTTCTTGAAACACATTTTTGACCCCAAAAGCATTCTAAAAGTTTGTCCTGTGGTTTCTCTCAAGCTTATAGAAAATCAGAACTACACACTCACTATAAAGTTGAAAATAGGTTTTTAAGATTTTAAACTGAAAAAAATTGAAAAAAAAAAAGATTTTAAACTGAAGTCATGTTTCTATACTTATCCTGCATTATGATTTAAAATTGTTTCCAATCTTTAGCATTCTATGAGGGAAATAGAACAATGCTCAAGACTTCAAAAGTTCCAAATATATCTTTTATTTTTATCCTAAATACTCTTCAAGTTTCTTAATGCTTTGCCCTTGGTATAAGCCACTCTTTCATAGCTGTTCCTACTATGATGTTTGTAGTAACCGTGTCTGTTAGTAATGATAAGGTACATTAGTTGTTTAAATGGATTTAAACAATACCAGTTGTTAAGCTGGTGTAATATTTTCCTCTCCTGTAAGTTACTATAGAAACTCATGAATTTGCTACCATTTTATGATGAAAAATTGAGAGTTGGAATAGTTTGACCTTGGTAATAATGAAAAGCTGTCTTTGGATCTGACAGAACAGGGTTTTCGTCCTGGCTGTAGCATTTTATATCTTTTTTTTAAATTGTACATAACACAGTACCTTTATGTATGTATGTATGTATGTATGTATGTATGTATGTATGTATGTATTTGGTGCTGAGGATGGAACCCAGTGCCTCATACATGCAAGGCAAGCACTCTACCCCTGAACCACAACCCCAGTCCCCCATTTTATATCTTATTAACTGTTGTGTTTCAACCCCAACTGGTCTAACACCAACTAGGAAGGCTACAGTTGAATTCTGTCACTAGTGGAGTTGTGTCAGTTTCATCAGTTAATGAGAATCCTTTGGAAGACTTTACGTGCCAGTGGTCTTCTCGGGATACCTGCAATTCTTATCAGCCTGCTCCAAGTTTGGAGATTCCCATGACTCTCGCAGTTTCAATAATTCACTAGGACAATTTATAGATCTCACGAAAGAGCTATATTTACAGTTATAGTTTTATTATAAAGCATATACATAGGGTGTTGTCTGAAAGGAGCATTGAATTTCCATGTTCTACCCTATGGCATCAGAATGTGTGTCACCCTTCCCGTAAATCAGTATATTCACCTACTGGGAAGTGTAATCAAGATTTGGTGACCCGAGTGTTTTTGGGGGGGTTTGTTATGTATGTTTGTTTATTGTAAAGAATTTTGTCTTTTAATTTAATCTCAGTAGATTAGAGAATAGATTTTTGGTTGTCACTAGATTTTCCCTAAAACCTCTCCTTCAAAATACATATATATTTTATCTTTGCTTGTGGGTTTCTTACCAGGAAGTAAACCAGTGTGCCCAAAGTGAAGTAGGTGAGGGGAAAAGTTATGAAGAGACAGATGCAAGGGATGTATAGGCCACAGTAAGGAATGTGGATTTGCTTCTGGATGTGGATTTGATTAACTCATTGGCAACAAAACTTCAGTTTTTGACTTACAAATAAAGCTACTAGGAACATCCGTGGATAGTTTCTTATGTAGACCTGCAATTCATTTCTCTGAGGTAAATACTCAAGAGCATAATTACTAGATTGTATGGTAATTATGTTTAATTTTAAAAAGAGGTTAGCAAAGTGGCTGTGCCATTTTATATTTCCTATTAGTAATGGTAGAAGAGCTCCAATTTCTTTGCATCTTCACCAGTGTTTTATGTCATCACTGTATTTTACCTTAGCTGTTTTAAAAGCTGTATAGTGAATAAAAACATCCTGGTTTTAATTTATATCTCTCTAGTGGCTAATGAGATTGAACTTCTTTCATGTATTTATTTGCCATCCTTATGTTCTCTTTGGTGAAATGTCACTTAATGTCCTTTACTTGCTTTCTAAAATTAAGCTGCATATATTTTTCACTGTTGAGGTTTTTTGTTGTTGTGTTTTTGTTTTGGTACTGGGTATTGAACCCAGGAATGCTTTATAACTGATCTACATTCCCACCTCTTTTTATTTTTTGAGACAAGGCTTTGCTAAGTTGCTGATTCTGGCCTTGAACTTCATGAACTTGGAATCCTCCTGCCTTAGTCTCCTGAGTTGCTGGGATCATAGGTGGGTGCCACCAACCCTTTACTGTTGTTTTGGTTTTTTACCCCACATTTTTTTTTTGTTTGTTTGTTTGGTTTTTTTGGTACTAGGGATTAAACTCAGGGACAGTTGACCACTGAGTCACATCCTCAGCCCTATTTTGTACTCATTTATAATCCTATGAACAGTGTAAAAATGTTCCTTTTTCTCCATGTCCTCTCCAGCATTTATTATTATTGTATTCTTGATGAATGCCATTCTGACTAGTTATGAGATGAAATTTCAGTGTAGTTTTTTTTTTTTTTTTAATATTTATTTTTTAGTTTTGTAGTTGGACACAATACCTGTATATTTATGTGGTGCTGAGGATCAAACCCGGGGCCTCATAAGCGCTAGGTGAGCGCTCTACCACTGAGCCACAACCCCAGCCCTCAGTGTAGTTTTGATTTGCATCTCCCTAATTGCTAGTGATGTTGAACATTTTTCATTTATTTGCTGGCCATTTGTATTATTTCTTTTGAGAAAATATCTGTTTTGTCCATTTGCCCATTTATTAAGTGGGATTTTAAATTTTTTTGTAAGGTTTTTGAGTTCTTTATATATTTTAGATATCAATTCTGTCAGAAGAGTAGCTAGCAAAATTTCCTCCCATTCTGTATGTTCTCTCCTTACATTCTTCATTGTTTCATTCACTGTGCAAAAGCTATTTAATTTGGTGTCATTCCATTTATTAATTCCTGGCATTATTTCCGGAACTTTAAAGGGTCCTGTTGAGAAAGTTGTTGCTGTGGCTGTATGCTGGAGTCACTGAGTTTTGAGAGTTCTTTAATTTTAATATTTTCTAGTTGTAGGTGGACGCAGTACCTTTATTTTTATGTGGTACTGAGGATCAAACCCCATGCCTCACACTGCTAGGTGAGCTCTCTACCACTGAGCTACCACCCCAGCCCCTTGAGAGTTTTTTATATATATTTTAGATATAACTCCTATGTCATATATGTGATTTGCAGTATTTTATCCCAGTATATAGTTCATCTTTTCATCCTCTTGACCGAAGAGATCCAATTTTTGAGGTTTTTCTTTTATATATTATGCTTTTAGTTTCATGTTGAGGAATGATTCACCAAACCTTATGTCTCAGTGGTTTTTCTCCAGTGTTTTCTTCTACAAATTTCATGGTTTGCATTTTTAAAAAAATATATTTTTAGTTATAGATGAACACAACACCTTTATTTTATTTA